AAGATCTGATCGTTTCACTTTCAATCCTTTGATTCCTATGATTCCGAGATTATGGGTATCCCAATATTTAAATTAAGAAAACGTTAAGTATCTGAAATATTTGATTGAAAATATAAAAAATAAAGTCGGAATTTCTGGAACACTTTGTATATGCGCAGCAGTTTTATACACTAGCATTCGTCGACTCGTATAACACGACATTAATTTTCGCGTGCATAGCCCATTATTTCCGCTTTCATTTCCGACTATGAAACGTGCGCATATTACATTGTACATAGGGTGGGTTTAAAGTTGTACGAAGAACCTTGTTCCCATGTTTTTGATTCAAAAATGACGAAAAATGTTGATAACCAAACATTTCTGATCTGTTTAGGACTTTTGGATATTTGAAGCGTACAAATATGTGTATATTTAGTTTCCGTGTGACACGCGTATTCTTTTACTTGTCATTCATATTAATTTGTAAAATAAGTTCTGATGCGCTATTATGATAAGAATCCGTGATGAAAGAGCATTATTTTAGTTTTGAGTAACAATAACATTCCGTTCTCTATTTCTTTGTATTCCTTCGCATTTTAGCATAAAAGAAGTTGGCAAAATTAGAGGATAGAATATTTAAGCGTGTCTTTATTTAATAAGCACGTTGTTTCTTTAGGAACCTCTCTCTTGAATTTCTTCTGCTTCTTTAACTTCAAAGCTTCATACACCAACGTGAAGTATAATAAAATGGAGTTTGCGGCACTATATAAAAGTAACATTTGTGGTTGCTTAAGGGGACACTGTCGGGGATTTAATTCTAATGTTACAAAATGGTACATATAATAATGTTGTATAATTTGTACAAAATTTTATAATATAGTTACGATAAAAGACTCTCTGGAGTCTTAGCATCATTAAATAGATAATTATGCTTTGTCACGTAACCTATTTCATTTTTTCATAAAACTAAAGAATGAACTTACCTGTAATGTGTAACCTGTAATGTACGTTTTGTTACGATAAAATATACAATGGAATAATATTTTGTTTTATTTAAATATTATTTTCTATCTCGTCTCATAAAATTAGCGCAAGCTGTATTTATCGATACATAGACGTTAGGTGATATAGGCGGATTATAGCCGCAGATTACAGCTTGCATTAGCCATATACCATCCATTGTAGCTGTTTTCTTTCTTTTCCATTTATTTTGTAGCAATAGTGTTTTGGAAAAATGAATAAAAAAATTGTATTGACGAGCCACGATATCTCTCGATTAACAAAGTCGGTGTTCCGTTCATTTGTTCATTCGTTCGTTCGTTCATGTGCAGACACGCGCATTAAAAAGTGACGCTGAAAAATCAGTCACTGCCGCGTACCTATCGCGAGAATTCCGCGAGAGCCATCCGCAACGCTGCTCGTCGCGCAGTTTTGGACGTTCCGCGACGCAACCCTGATCGGCTTGTTGCGAATTGCGCGAGAGGATTTTTATGGATGGTGCCTGAATGACACATCATTTCATTTTCGCGTCAATGGGCGCAACTCACGCTCTCGAATTACAAATATTCTATGGATAAATTGTTACGGCTCGATTTTTATCTCCCGCTTCGCCATTAACGAGTCATACGAATTGGTAGTCACATTACATGATCACGGCAAAGTAACATATCCGTGATCCGTGATCACGCGCGATCTTAGATTTTTGTCCTAAAAACGTATTTGTATTAGACATTAAGATTAAACTTGAACGCTTAAAATAAAATGTATATTAAATCAAAGGTGTAAAGCAATAATTATAAAAGATTTGCATCACTTTTGACGCATATAGATTTCAAATTCTTTCAAGTTTTTATATATAACATTGTTAAGTCGTCGTCTTAAAATAAATGTATAAAATAATGTTGTACAGCAGAATCAGTGCATCGAAATAAAACTAAACTAAAAATACTAATTTATTGAATGTTATTTATTGAATGATGCCTGATCACCAACTGAATTGCGTGAGCGTCTAGAATTAATTGCCTAATGTGCAATTCATCGATTTATTATTACAATTTCATGGAGAGCATGCCTCACCGATATCGAATATTTCGTATCGTTAATTAATTCTGTGTTAATCCAAAACGACCGACTTTGCGTTGCGGCAGTTATCGAAAACAACCCGGATAATGTCGAAGACTGAAAATAATTATCATTGCAGGGCGCGCGCGCGTGCACGAATGGATCGCGTTCCAGTATTCATATGCGCAACTCCCTCAAAATAGTGTTCCAACCACAAGTAACAATGTACTATAATTGTTAGTATAATAATTATCAAAATGCAATAAATCTTGGAACAATTATCATCGTGTGGGTGAATCCCATTAAAGTTATATAAATTATCAGTGGTTTAATTATATGGTCAGCGGTGTATTATAATTATTTAATATTTATTATACTAGCTATTAAATTATTATATGTACAACACTATATCTATTTGTGTTAATTTTATTTATCAGAGTAACATTGACCGCAATATTTACGTGAAATACTAATACTCTCTATTATTGGACATAAATTATTTAACTGCAAAAATATTGACTGAAACAGATTTACATTAGAAAGACTAGATATTTTAATAGAGGATATTATGCATACATATATATGTATAAAGATATATGTACATCCGTGGCCGTGAATACTTTTATATGTGTCTAATTTATGCGATAGCCTCATGAATCGCACAATCCCTTTCGCGTAATTTCGCCGAGTAATCATGATTTATATTCTTTGCGCCTACTCGCACATGGTATACCGATACCGGTGTAGCACACACAAAGCTGAGAACAAAGCCGCCATCACGTTAGAGTCATTAATATCACTTTACCCTTTCATTGCTGCGGCGCGCGGCGCCGGAAAATGATAAATCCTACGACTCAGGATACTATTCGTGGTCTGGATAGCATTAACTATCCGTCGTTTCACGTCGTTTCGATTTTTCTGCTCGATGCGATAACTCGATCTCCTTTGACGCATTAGATCGCGACAGACTGAGAACGAAGTAATTTTCGTATAGCAAACGTGTTTACGAAAATCGATAACGCCGGGTGAAATTTACAGTTTCGTTATTAGTTTGTTTATTCTGATCTATGGTTAAATCTTGATTGTTTTCATTAATCGATGAAAAGATTGACTTTTCAGGAATTAAGATTGACAGAATTTCAATAAGTTTATTTTTTCAGCACTGTAAAAATTGATCTCTATAATTGTGCGGTTTCGATAAATATTCATTTAAATAAAAGAATTTTTAAACAAAATTTTTTTTATGAGTTTCTGAACAGAAACAGAAGGATCTCTAATGTATAGAATATAAAAATAGTACGAGAAATGTATAAAAATAAAGCATTATGAAATTGACAATTAGTGTAGATAAAAATAATAAGAAGATAATTAAAAATTATGTACATATATCATGTTACGGCTGCTCGCAGATATAAATAAATTGATCAATTTATTTTACAATTGACAATAGAACTGAATGAGTTTGCATTTTCTTTCTTATCAAACGAATAGAAGGGCTTCAATTGTCAGATTTTTACATGTATGCACGTACGCGCACACACACGTATATATGCACAGCAAAATAATTATTAATTTTGTAAATTTGAACTTTGATTACTTGATGCATTCTAAAAAAATTTTTAAACGTGGTTCGAAAAAATAATAGATATAAACGATCACTAAAATTTAACCAATATTTTTATTATTGTTCTCTCTCTCTCTCTCTCTCTCTCTCTCTCTCTCTCTCTCTCTCTCTCTCTCTTTCTCTCTCTCTTTCCCTACTTCTTTTCTTCCTTCTCTTCCTCTCTTGGTGTTAAAACAATTCTTTTCCTCAACTGATATTTCAGACAGATCAAGATGTACATATTTTTCAACTAGAAATCCGTCCGTTTTTACAATTTAAATTCCATTTATTTTTGGACATGGCTGATGCTGGAGAGTGCATTGCTCGCTTATAGAATTCGAATCTTTCTTACCACGTTGCGGTGTATTGTCTTCACATCCATTTATATACGCTATAGATATGTACATGTACGTACACGTATATCCTAAAAATTATTTATTTATTTATTTTTTTTTTTTTTTAATAATAAAGCGGACGTCAAATGTATTGCAACAAAAAAAACCCCCTACGTGAGGACGGGCTGGCTGGGGCGGTTGTCCCCCCAGCTTGTCCAAAACGGGAGGAAGTCAAACCTGGAGGTTAAAAACTTCCCGGGAGGAAGTCCAATAGTGGACAAGGTGCGGGGAGGGTCTCCGGAAGAATCTTAAGTTTCCCGGGGCCTTTCCACTAACGCACGCGAGGACAACCGTGGAGTTTTAGCCGGTAAGAATCCGGCACTCCCCCCGTCTTTGCCAGAAGGCGGGGGGGTCTTCCCCCTCTTGAGGGGGCTACTGGGTAAACCGGGCTCGCCCGGGATCCCAGTAGTCGAAGATTTCTCCACGTTAAAAAAAAAAGCCGTTAGTTATATAAAATATTAAAAAGTCGTCCATCTTTCGCACAACTTTATTGTTAAATTTAAAATCTGAAGACTTTTTATCTCGAAACATTTTCATATCATAGCTGGCATAAAAATCCTTAATGAGGTTTATCAGTCATGACGCGAGAAATGGGCATTAGCCGGGCATCAACAGCGCAAATAAACGTGCCGTATTTAGTATGGCAAAGTATCCAGCAGCGAATAAACTTTTAACATTTTTCAAGAGTTTCTTTAACATTTATCCTAACCTTTTCCACCCCGCGTTTTATTCTTAAAGACAAACAAATATGTATACATATATCGGAACTCTATACATTTAACTTTTATTTTATATACTTAAAAAGTCGAATAAGTTAAGAAATTGAATTAGTATATAAGTACATAAGTTAAAAAAATTAACGCAGATAAGATTGCAATTAAATTGAAAAAACGTGAAAAAATATACGGATAAATATAAATATAAATATAAGTATAAATGTAAGAGCAAAAAGCGAGACTCACCGATGGTTGTTATCACGGTAAGGGAATACAGAAAAGCACCGGCGAAGGTCCACTTATTTTCCTCCACGCCTTCGTACCCATTTCTTATGGCTGACACTACCATCGTCTGATAATTCTCGAGAATGTCTCTCACCTTTGCCTTCCACAGTTTTTCCGAGAACACATTTTCCTATAAACATATAAGCAATATCAATAGCGTCAGAATATTAAAAGGAAAAGAAAGATTGACGTCAACAATATATTAATATCAATATTAATGCATTATATTATAGCTGTTTCCTTGGAATTCCTTGACATTAGTTAAAGAGAGGGAGAGTACGGGGTAACGAAACTTGCAAAAGATTAAGGCCAGATATCTCAGCGTATGTATCTATATATATAAATATAAAAGTATATGTATGTATTACGTTTTCGATGACATGACCCGGACGGCCCGGAGTCCCGGATCCGATTCCCGTCATTCCCGATTTACGATCTACGATCTACTGCGTCCTAGGGACGCCTAGAATTACGCCTAGACGCACCTAGCGCCTAGGTAACTCTAATGCTACGGTCAACAGTGTACGACATGTAAACTACCATAGCTTAGAGTTAGCCAGGTTGAATTTCTAATGGCAGCCCTGGCCCCTGCGGAAAGTACGGAAAGCCACAGGCCGCAGCGCGTAGGCCGTAGCATGTAGCATGTGTGATTGGCGTAAATTGTTCATTCACCTTGGACGTTAGGTCCCAAAGATTGGCAGCCGTGCGATTTCTTAGCTTGGTGACGTTGGCGGCGATATCCAAGTTGCTTTTACCCTCGATGTGGGTGAATAGGAAGGCGCCCGCTATAGTGTAGCCGACTACGAGACACACGATGCCGACGTTACTGAAGAGGAAGGCTATCAGCGCCCTGGTCCAGTCGGCGATCCGCTCACCCCACGGTTTCCGCTTGCGCTTCCGCCGTCTTCCGCCCCGGCCGCGATAACTTCCACGCTGCCAGCTCCTACTGGCCGACGAACGGGACGTTCTGTCCGTTTCCATCGACAGTGACAACTTGTCGTGACGATGTGTCACGTGTCACCACTGCCACTGTGGCACTGTCACCAGCGTCACCGCGTCACCTCGATCGTCTCGTTTGGAGTTTGGAGTTGGAGCCGATTCGCAAACATCACGTTTCACGCTTCCCGCTTCCCACTTCCGGATCGCCAAACTCTCGCTGATTGACGGCTGACAATGAGAACTGAGAACTGAAAACGGCTCTTGCCGTTGCTCCCCGTTACGTTGTTCACGATATCGCTACGGGTGGATATCCTATCGCAGAATGGTCACCTTGGATCTTTAATTCATTGGCGACTACAAACTACAAACCGCGCCGTGCCGCAGAAATTCAGCGTATGGCGTGTTGTTCGAAAACCACAGCCGCCATAGGCCACAGCCAGATACGGAAGAACGAAGCGTAAGGAGGTACAAGATCGTAAACTATGCGCGAGCACTGACCGGGGACCGGGGATAATCGGCTAATGGAGAATTATGCCGAGCAAATTTAATGGGGAACGTCCTATCTCCGAGTCTCTTGAAGTCTCTTCCATCTCTTCTGCCTCCGCGGCGCGCGGCGCGGGCGGCACAGTTGATTCTTGTAGTCTCGATTCTGGTATCGTGGTATTGACACTATGGCTGCGTTCGGGGAGCGCGCTATATTAGCGCTATTTGCTTATTCTATCCTTGTTCTACACTTGATGAGCGATAAAGATAGAATGACGCAATAGCGCTAATAGCGCGCTCCCCGAACGCAGCCTATATCGATTCCGTCGTGATCCGCGATCCGCGATCCGCGGGGAATAAAAAACACGACATCGTCGTCGCCGCGGGCCACAGCCGCTGCGGTCGAGACTCGAGACGAGTCACTTGGCCGCTTAACAAAATCTATTGTGAAACTGTTTACAATCCCGCGAAAAATGATGGACGATTTCGCCGAAGTCGTCGAAGGCGAGATGTAATCCGACTTTAATTAAATTCCTTTGATTGTCCCAGACTTTTCGCAAACTGGGAATAAATCAACAGGATTTACACATTGTTCGAGTAGTTTTATACGAGTATGTTTCAACACAAAGTTGTCAAATATATGAAAACGTTCGAGATCCATTGCTATTCTATAAACTCGACAAAATATATGTGTATTTAAATGTGTGTATATATATATATATATATAATATATACGGGGGGAACACTGTAAATGTTTGAAACAAACTCCATACCCCAACTTACGGAGATGGCTTATTATATAGTATAGAATATAGATGTTATAGATGATGCTGATAATAAGATACTTAACATGAATGTATTTGTAGAAATTAATATGCAATATTGGAATCTATTCCTACTAATATAATTCTACTCGTCTCAATTGTCTCGATATGACTATATGTGTATAAGACGGCGCGGCGCCCATTCGGCGGACCATTTTTCAATTTTTCTTCATCGACATCAACATTCGTCTGGGAAACTGGGAAAGACTTAATAATTTGTATATTTAATCAAGAATATGCCACGCATACATATAGTAGAAATTGAGCTCGATACTCGCGATGGTGGTGCTATCGATCGAGGCACAGGCACGGATAGGGAATAGCCGGAATATAGGGATTGGCACGTTCGTTTTCTGACGTTGGCTAAATGATGACGTAGGCGACGCGATGATCGACGATAAGCCTGATAAGGTCGATCGTAAGATCATGTGAGAGTGAGAACAGAATCGATTCCAAATCCAGGTCATCCAGGAATCAGCATCAAGCATCAGCATTTATACCTCGTATCTGACGTATCTCTCGCGGGCGCGCTCTAACCCTGGCCACCCCGGCCGTTTATTGAGACGATTGAGACGGAATTTGGGATTTCTGTGTTCCCCCCGTATCCTCATTTTTAATCCTCGAGCTTTTGCGAAAGCTATACTTGGACATGCGCGTCTATGCATATGCTATTACACTAGACGAGAAGCCACGTGTATTTTACGTGTTAGAAAGACGCATTACCGTTTATTAAGTTTACAATTTTCGTTTCTTCTTATAGATCATTCTTTCTTAGTCTTATTGATACTATCGCGAATAATCGGAAAGTCTTGGCGATTCTTCGCGAAAACCTTCCATCTTGCACCTTGCACCTCGATTCCTCGAGGTAACAGCACGTGAACGTCCATTAATGGTTTCCGAGGCGACACTCCCGACTCACCCGACTGCCGACTGCCGACTCCCGTTACATCATTATTACGCGCGTACGCGTATGCGTGCACGTTGCAACAAATAATTAATTTCCGACTTTCCGACATTCGATGACATTCCGTCTTACGAAAAGATCCAAGTTCGGCGATAATCGAGATAGAGTCCAAGTCTTAATTGCCGGTATGCAAACATACGGAGAACAACCCACCTCGACCAAGTTTCCCCGTAAACTGATTTCTTCTTTCTTCGTGGCAATCGTGGCACCCCGCACCCCGCGCTACGACATGCACCATCCCGAAATAGCGCGTCGCCCAAAATAACCGGGTTCAAGTCGCCTGGGTCTGCTCGTGTTGCCGATCAAATTGCCGGACTTGCCAGACACCCGGTAGACAAACCCGCATCTCGATGATCCGGTTAGGACGGTTAGGTGAACAAAATGTTGAAACATTGAAATTTTGAAATGTTATAATTAAAAAGACTGTTAAAATATGTAAACAAAATTACATTCAGAGTAAGAATTCTTCTCTCGTTAATTTTAGATAATACTCTTTTTTTTTTAATTTGATGATGTTTAATAAAAGTAAAATACAAATGGGCTGTCTGACAATATATCTTATGATGATCGATCATTCACCAGCGTGTATATCCGCGCAAAAATCGGAGGATAATTTTGTGACGTGAGAATGAATGAGAGAGAGAAAGCATTTATTTATTAACGCGCCCTGGGATAAGTTAATGAGACAGAGAGAGAGAGAGAGAGAGAGAGGCGATGCGGTTGGCTTTAAAATTTATGAAATGCAGATTCCGCCCGTGCCAGGATTGTTCATTCGTAATGGACGCGAACGAAAGTTCTTAGTGACTATTATTTCTTCTTTGAGTGGACTTTATCGCGCGATTATCGAGTCGTTGAAACCGGAGCCGTTAACTGGATACCGCCGCTGCCGTCGCCGCGCCGTCGCCGTCGTCGTCGTCGAGACGATTAACGTCCTCGCGATTTAAACGACGAAATGCGACTCCGAGCATAGTAGCGAAAATGCACGAGAACGTATATGTATGGGTCGCAAAGGGGATGAAAGGGATTTGCATAGCAAGCGTGAATTTTGCATGCGACAAGTGCGTCCGGGAAAATATTGTAAGGACAATCTTCTGCGCGCGGAAAGTAGTAAGCCGCGCGAAAATATCGTGTTCGCTGAAAGATAATCGTATTCTCGCGTCGCTTGCGTTCGAAGCAAAATTTAAGAGACTATACTGGAAAGTAAGACTATTTTTTGAAAACGTTCAAGTTTCAGATTTTTAGTAGTTCAATAGTTTCATAGCTCCCAGAGAATGAAAAATAGACGTTGCGCTCTCTTCTATCTTTGTGTCGCATTTTTTTTGTCAAAGAAGATTAGAAATATATATGTCGAAGATGTATATATATATATATATATATGTATATATATGTATATATATGTATATATATATATATATATATATATATATAAATCTAAATTGCTATAAAACGCGTGTATAAATAATTAAAACATCTTAACTTTTGTTTCAAGTTTAAAATTTATAAAGGAGAAAATGGTAAATTGTGAGCAAAGTATGACAGAAAGAAAAAGTTAAATAAGAAATATTTTTCTAATAATGTAAAATTTATTGCAAATAATTATTGGACAAAATCTGAAAGGAAAATATTAAAAATGCAAATGTCAATTAAATATCAAAGCTATGCGATATGCAAAGTGTATGTAAATTTAATTGCATTCCACAATTGTTCTTCTATTCATTTTATAGACACTAATTCTCCGACTTGTATCTATACGTATACAGCACTATTTTCCTCGCAATATTCGCAAGCTCTATAGTTTCTCTTTTCACCATTATATTCCATTGGTATACATTATAATTAATTAATAATATAGTAACTTTCTTAATAATAGTATTCTCAGCATTGTGTCAGATATTGAATTGAATACACACTGTAACGTTAAATCATGAAAAGTCCCCAAATCAAGAAATCTTTGTGTGAGAGCTATAAGAAATTAAAATTTTAATAATATCCTGGAATTTGAGTATCTATAAATTGAAAAAGATAATTGAGATAAATCATATTTATAAATTAATCTGACTTTATACGTTCGTATACCGATTTATTCTTGCGAGACAAGACCTGCGCGAAAAGAACTATATTACTCGATTATAGGAATTGTCGATCTACGCGAGATCAGATCTATCTATGCCATGAAACTGACTCATATGTCGATCGGGACGTGAACCGAGAAATCCCCTGGATCTTGTACCATGTACGAAGACAGATGACTCGCGCGTCCCCGATCTCGTCGAATAGTAAGTTGAAAACCGCGAGATCAGAGCTTGGGCTCGTTTTCATAGGCCTCATCTTCGTACTCGGCGTCGTATTCGTCATAGTCCTCGGCCTCCCCTTCCTCCTCCTCCTCTTCCTCCACGTCCTCCTCGTCGGTCTCTTTGATGATACCCAGCCTCTTCGCGACGCTCTTCACGTTGTTGATGACCTCCTCTTGCACCAGATTAAAGCTCATTGCCAGCAAGGCAATTCCAAATAGCAGGTAGAGAGAACAAAGGGCGATGCCCTTCTGCGCGTCCACCTTGTACGCCGGCACAAAATCGCCGAAACCTTAAAATAGAAGAGATAGGAAATCGTGCGAGTTTCACGTCATCGCGCTCGAAATAAACGCAAGATCAATAAATAAATAGATACAGATAAGCGAAAGTAGAGCCCCTCTAAGACCGTTAGAAGATATTATATAAATATATGTTATAAAGTTGTTACAAACGTATAGGTATTATTCTAATAAAATTAATTTTTGGCCCTCTTATTGTTAGTT